TTATTAAACACCATCTAAACAGCTGTGTTTCTTTATGGAGGTCTGACACCCAATCACAGCCAGAGTATGATTATTTATATGCCTGCATCGTCTGCAGTAGAAAAGCTGACATCAGCCATAAGGACCGTAAGGCTGGTACTTTACTAACATTATAAATCAGGACTAATTTAGCATCACTGTGGGGACTGCGCTTAAACACGGTGCACAGTGTTTCCCAAAGGTTTTAAATAACAGGACAATCTGGTTCTTGGCAGCTATGACGCAGTCACTCCACGATGAATGTTTTAATGAATAGATGCATGGGTCTAGATCAGTGTTTTCCCAAACTTTTTTTCTGGGGACCCATATTTTAAAAGTCACAAACCTTCACGACCCAAGTTAATAGACATTTTTTGTAAACTCCTGGGAAACATGATGCGATATGACCCCCCAAAAAATGTCTTGCATCCCACCCCCAAAAAAAAAGAAAAACTCTTGCGACCCATCTGAGGGTCGCAACCCAGTCTTTGGGAAGCAATGATCTAGATTAAGAAAACAGCACACAAATAATGTGGGCATTTACACCAAGAGAAGTCAAGTAGGTGACGACAATTAAGAACAAATGAAAGTGGAGGAGCAAAGAAGCTGCTTGATCTAGTTTTTTTTTAGACATAACATTAAGAAAAGCCAATCATGAAGATACCATCTTCATTTTATAGCTTTGATTAGATGATCGAAACGTTCATAAAGACTAAGTTCAGCAATAACAGGTGTGACAAACCCCCTCTCTCAAAAAACGTCTGGTTCTTTAAAGTTTTGGTGTTTTCTGTGTGATTTTTCTTTTAACCACAGCTCAATAATCTCATTATGGATTAAGGATCCTATAATATCGTCTACATCATTTTTCCTAAAGACTGGGTCAGGACCCTCAAGTGGGTCGCAGGATATTTTTTGTGGGTCGTCACCCATCATGTTTAGAAAGAGTTTACAAATCATGTTTATTGACTTGGGTTGCCAAGCTTTGTGACTTTTAAAATATGAGTCCCCAGAAAAAAAAGTTTTATTTTTACAAATAATTGTTTTTCGCCACTACTGCGAAAAACGATAAATGACTGCATAATCAGTTATAACTACTATAATTTTTTTTAAATCTTTTTGGTGACATTTCTTCAAATCACTTTACGGGTGAACTTTTATCTCACAGAGAATCTCACCGCCGATGAAAACAAACATCATAAATGGCTGCTGTTTCATAACAGCAGAAGATAATTGCACCGCTACCTTTCACTGTGGATCATACGATGTAAAAGCTGATCTACTCTGACTCCGTGGGGACGTTACATTCCGGGGAAAATGCCTCGACAGAGCAGAGTAGATTGATAACAACGGTAATTGAAGTAACAAGACTGCAGCTGTTTGCAGCCTGGGCAGTGACATGCAACTGTGTAAACAAAAATTAATTTCCAAAAAAACAAAACAAATGGAGGAGAAGATGCTGTCATTTTTTTCATGAATCATTTGGATCATTGTGAACGTACGTGTCAGGGTGTCACACTTACCAAGAATTTGAGGAGAGGCCTCGTGTTCTTGGATGATCACATGCCTTGCTCCGGGAGAAAGATGAAACATCTTAAGGTAGCCTTTGCCAAGTTGACAATGGCAGCGATAGTAGGAGGAGGTTAAGGAAGACAAGATGGAGAGAGGTAAGATTTTCAGGTCTAGACATGGTCTTTCTGTTTGCAGGAGTGGGCATCTCATGGGTTTCTGAAATGGTCTTTACAAGGTGTTTTGAAGGAAATATTAGGAGGAGGTTTGATTGAAAACAGACCAAACATTGGTATTTATATTCGTCTGCTGACACATTGGTGAACTTGTATTATTAATGTGCAGACAAAAACGCAAATATAAATTAACCCTTCGGTCTGCTGAAGGAAAGGGAAGGGGTTTCAGAGTGCAGAGAGGCAAAGTCACCTTCTGCCACGGATGCCCACGTCCTACAAACATACTGTCACTCACCAAGTACATTTCTAGCGTCTTCCGTTTCATTTAAATAAACATTTCTTGCTCCTTTTGGCAAAAAGAACGCTCCTCTGGTCTTCCCTTTAAAATAATAATAAAATTAAAAGAAGTCAGTGTCTTTTCTCTTTCCTCCGCTTCGTTTGTGATTCATCATAATCCAGGCCAAGAAACCGCTAGATAAAGTCAGATTTAATTAGCTAAGCATGAAACTCTGGGGCTATCGCTGCATGAGAAGGCAGACCAGTTGGCTGGCAGGCTCGCGCTTGTTAATCACCAGTACTGAACTGGAGTGGTGTAATTACTGGCCCTTGGAGTTGACAGACAGGTCCGACGTCCTTGGCGTTCTGATGCAGATGCATCGCTGTTGGAGAAGCGTTAATGGATTCAACTGGATCCACATAAGAGCACAGCCTACGACAGATTATCACTATACAATATATTAAAATAAAATAAAAAAAAACCTTTCGCTCCTGTGACTCCAAACGGCAGGTAACTCTGGATTGACAGAGCTTTATAACAAATCTGAGTTCTGTGATTCTAAATAAACATGGGAAGATTGAGGTCTTTAGGGACCAGGAGTGAACCAAGCACCAGTGAGCCAGTCATGTTTTAATCATTCAGCTGCAGCAATTCTAATAATATCCAGCTATAGACCCTGAACCACTTAACTCTCCAACCACATGATTTCAGTTAGTTTGTTAGGCAGTTCAGGCAACTGGTCACATTAGACACTAGACACATTCAGATTTAATGACTGCATATGGCCAAAAAAAAAAAAAAAAAAAAACTCTCCTCTTTTACCAGCCTCTGTCAGATAATGAGCCTGTGGCAGTTTCTACAGTGCAGTCAGATCTAAATGGACACTTCATTAGTAACAACTAGAAACACTAGCATTTCCTGGAAATTCTATCCAGTTAAACATCCATCTGTGCTAAAAGCTTGGTGGGGGGGGGGGGGGGGAAAGGCATTCCATTCTGGGCTCTCTTGCTTATCTGTTTGCCTGTTAAAATGAGGTAGATGGTAAAAGAGAGTAAGATGTTAGGGTGAAAATGGACATATGGAGATGGAGATGGAACGCAGCCTGTGGAAAATGCTCAGAAGCTCCAGCGTTCCCGTCCGTCTTACATAATTGATGTTAAATATAAATCTATTGATATATTATTTATAACTAATGCAGTGCTTTTTAGAAAACAGGCTTAAGATCCATTGTGTGATGTGTGGAATCACAGATGGGACTTTTATAGAGGAACCTCCTGACGCCAACTTTTCAACTGTAAATGTCAGAATTGAAACCATGTCAAGCCATAAGTTATTATCTCACGTGAACACAGGGAAATTACAAGTAGCTTCCTGTCTTGTGAGACCGACCACCACTCATGCTAACATCCGCTACTTCAAAGTTAATGATCTGAAGATATTTGTGTGTTGAGTGAAACATTACACATATTAATTTAATACACTGTAGCACAGCACTGAAACGTCCTAGAGGGAGGAGGAGGAGGAGTGAGGAAGAGGGAGGAAATGACAATAGATTTCATGGCACCTCAGATAAATCTCCTCCATGGCTTCATGGTAAGCAGGATGTTGGGCTAATTTCACATTTCAGTATAGCATAAATGTCCTGTTCAATTAATGTTCTGATTTGGTAATTAAACAAACCAAATGCTAACATTTACACTCTTGCATTTAGCAGAGAGCTTTTAAGCGACTTACGAGAGGAAAATAAACATTCCAGCTACAGAGAGGAACTCCTGAGAGCGGACTGCTATTGTGTGGGATTATTCTTAACCAGGGTGGAGGTAAGTGCAGAAAGTAGAAGGGATGTACAGGGAAATAGACAGGGTGGTGCTCGCTAGCTCATTATTTAATAATGATAATCAATGCACAGCATAAAACCTTTCTGGGAAGTTCTGTCCTTGTGTTTTTTCCTCCTTTTTTTACTTGTCTGCCCCTGACTTCAGTCCATAACTCCAACTGTGCTCAACTCTGACTTTCTGTTTATTTAAACAAAAGGCTTCATTCAAATGCAGTTTAAATAATGCACTCCATTCACCGCACAAAAGGGTTTTAATAGTGTTAGGAGCAGCTGAGTGCACATGAAGAATAATAGGACTCTCAATGAACATGTATTTTATCAACATAAAATAGTACTTACATGTTAATAGAAATTGATTGCGACGGAAAGTCTGCGCTTATTTCCAGGTATGGAATTTTGTTAGCCGACTAAGGGCGGACATCAAAATCTTGTTGTTGATACCATCACACACTGTACGAGTGATGTACGGACAAAGTTCACAATTCATATACGACACGACCAGAGAGCACATGCTATTCATAAAGAAGAAGCGCTACGATACTGTGCGCTGAAAGTTCGAAATAGAAGAGGCGCCGGCGCATCTGGAGTCGGAGACGTTTATTGTGTATTTATTGTTTATTACGTTTATTGTGGACAGTGCCACAGCTCTAGCAATCTCGCCTCCATATTTTCATGCCACCGACGCCTCGCCGTTGTTACTATCACTTTACGCAGACACACACTGAGGGAGAGGTGCTGCGGTCGGCTCAGGTTCTACTGTACAAAAGAATTTGTCGGCCGACCAAAAATTTAAAATGTTGAAATAACTTTCAACAAGTTTCAAGTCTATGAAGGGCAAATGATGACTTCTTAAGTGAGAGTAATTATGATGTGTTAAAAACGACCAGATACTCAAGACCTGTTCTGAGGCCATTTCTTTTCTTCTTCTTTTAGTTCCTTGAAGATAATTTGTTTTTTTGTGATTAAAAAAGGTCTGAGAAGAATTATTGCATTCCACATTTAATTTCCTTAATCAATGGAAGCTCTCTAACGAGATAGAGTCGTATTATGTGGATAAAAAAACTAAAGACTTAATAATAATAATATAAACCAATGTTTCCTCCTCTGAATACTAATAACTGCTGCTGAATGGGAGGATTTTAATTTAAATAATTTTTTTTAAATCTCTTTGCATTTTTGTCAGGATGTGTTTGCTTTATTATATTTTGGGATTTCATTTCCTCTAGCTACGCAGCTACAAAGGGCTGGTGTTGGATTGGTGGGTGTGAGAAAAAACAAAGAATATAAATTTGGCCTGTGGTAAAAAAAAAAAAAAATCATTAAGCCAGTCCAACAATGTCCTTTGTTGATGAAGCCATAGTCCCTAATTAAAACTGACAACTGTGCAATTTGGTTAGGAAACGTAGGACAGATATATATATGAAAAAAAGACAAAATCAGGGAAATCTGCAGAGTAGTATTGTTTGCAAAAGGAGATTGTAAGCAATCTGTTGCTTAAACCATAAAATAAGGATTGTCAAGAGTGTTCCCTGAAGATGCCAAGACTGTCTCTGAGCATAGAATTGAGGAAGAGAGTTGTCTCTTGTTCTACTATGTGATAAACAAATAGTAGTTTTGAAACTACTACCCGTCAGATGTATCTGAAGCCTGGCTGTCAGCGTCCTACTGTAACTCCTGGGGTGAAATGGGATGACCTTAAAAGACTATTACACCTACTCTGACCATGACTGCACTCCCAACTAACATCATAGGGGCAAAGGACACTCCTCTGAGGAGGAAAATGTAAAAAAAAAAAAAAAAAAAAGTCATTTATCCTGAATGTTAAGTCTCAACATGCAGAAAAAGCATAAAAAAACGAAAAGTATTTTTTAATTAATGAATTCTTACCAGGTTTTTTTGGAGTTCTAGTGAAGGTCCCTTTGACTGTGCGACAGTGGGAGTTGTCCCCACCACAAACCCCACACCTGTCTTCACCTTTGTTTGAGCCTATCTCCTTGTCACAGCCCACTTTCTGCAGAACCCAAATGGAAAACACGTCAAAAGACACAGACACACACAGAAATCAGAACACCACCTTTTAAAGAGCTTAAGTAAATTAAAGGTTTCCTCACGTTCATTCAGATGTATTGAGTGAGGTTTTTTTTCTTTTCATATTAATAATTAGACCTTGATCTGGTGAAGGGTTTAACTAAAAACCAATGCATGAGCTAAAGAAGAAGAATGACACAGGTAATGACGTTATGATGATTTTCTAATGATGTGTTGTTGTGTGAGACCAGAAAAAAAAGAATTAATGATAATATTTTGACTGCGGTCTGAGACAATTAAATAAAACATGTTTATGTTTTATAGAAATAACTGTCTAAGAACAGACGAAGAAGAAAAGGGAAGAACCGTTCATGACTTACTTCCTGGCAGAAAGATATATATATATACTTTTTTGTAAGGGTCTGTAAAGATTTTGAAGAGAACTAAAAAAAAAAACAACATGTGGGGGTAGAGGGGGTCTTTTAACAGTTTCAATCGTAAAAGCCGTGATAATAAGAAAACTTCTGTGAGCCTGAATGTACCAAGCCTGAATGTACCAAGAATCTCAACACGTATTGACCTCGATCCATATAAGTTACAAGTGCTACATGAGTGGCACTTAGGAGCACCAGGTACTCAATCTGACTCAGACCTCAGTGACAGTACTCTGCTGTACTTCGAGCAGACCTGGAGTACGGTCAGGGTTGATGAGGGAACGTGTATTCAATGATCCATAGGAAAAATGCGAAGAAGATCAGTGCCACAGAGCAGGGATGGAGTGTTTTTTTTCTCTATCCATTAACAATTAAAACGGTAACAAAATAATGATGTTTCGGAAATCGTTGTAGCGTTTCTTCAATCTTTGCCGATGTTTTTGTTATTTTATGATGCACCAGGAAGAAAAGTGTGACAAAAAAAATCACATGGGACTTGTCTGACTTTTGTTCAGCGATTCTGTGTTGCTTTTTCACTTCAACAGGGGTCGCTAGTGTAAAAAAAGTACAGGGTTTGTGGCTCATTCCTGATGTATTACTGCAACACTTCATTAAGAGTGGACGACGAGTTTTGCTGTGCTTGATATTTAATGTGTTTTATTTTCAAAAAGACACTCTTGGGAAAATTTTTAGAAATGTAAAAAAAAAAATCCGGTGTTGCCTGAAAACCACAGTATTTAAATTGTTCTTCAGTTGCTGCTGTGGGATCAGAGATTCACTTTAACAGCTATTATATATGTGTATATATATGTACATATACATATATAAAAATGTGTTCTTCATGAGAGCCCCTCTCAGTCAGGGGTGATTCCACTCCTTGTCATAACAGCGTTTTTAAAAGCTGACTTTGCAGTTTGTTGCTGACATTAAACTGAACACTGAAGTCTAAAAAACACCTCAGCACTGTTATAGCTCGTGGCACCTCATGTGAATTACTACCAGGTGGAGCTCTCACTATGACAAGGTCTGTAAAATAAAGGATAAAAAAAAAAAAAAAGAAGCGAAAACTCACCACACATTCTCCACGCACACAGACACTGTAGGCGTCTTTGTAGGAGCACCGTGTCCCGTCGTGGACCAGCTGCTTCATGTACGCCACGTCTCCCGTTTCCTTGGACTGGCAGTACAAGTGACACCTCTTGTTGCCTATGAGAGAGAACATAAGATTGTCAAACAAGGGAAACTGTTGCAAAATATAGTCATTCTTTCAACTCTAAATGCTTAAATCTTTTCAAGCCAGAGCCAATCTCTGACAAAACTATAGGTTTTTTTAACCTAGAGCCTGTGAGACACTTGAAATTTGGAGATGTCTCTAAATCAGCACTTTTATTGGTGATATGTTTTGGTATTTAAAAAAAATGTTATACTATATTGATCCCATATTTGGGAGATTGTTGTGTTAGCAGCAGACATGCTGTTAACAGGCTGCCCCTAGCAAGCTCCAAGCATGTGGATCCTCTGGGAATTCAAGGCAGGCGTGCCAACTGCCACACTGTGGAACCGTAAGACTTGGTAAGAAAAGTTCATTCAACAATAGCTTTGTTGAATGAACCTAATGGCAGCTCACTTCACTGTCTGTTCTGGTTCTGAGATCAAGGTAACAAAACAGTTACATCTGTTATATTTCAGTTAATATATAATGTATAATATTAAAAACAATATATTTGTGTAAAGCCACAGAGATAGAAACTGCTGCTGAATGTGCATGACCCTCAAGCTATTAGAAAGCAGTACATTAGATAAAATACTTAAATATGTCAAGTCAGTCCTTGTGTGTCGATATTTTCTTACAGTCTTAGTTCATTTTTTTTTATTTTGGTTTATTGGTTTCCTGATGTGATTTTTGTGCTGAAATGTATCTGTTCTACTTGAGCAGTTTTAAGTAGATTTTAATGCTTGAACACATTGCGTATATAATTGAAGTTATAAAAAGCCTTTTCAGAATATACGGTAATTCATATTAAAGTGCTGCTTTTATACCTTACAGCTTGGAGGCTATTTTAAACCAAACACAAAGGTCTGAACTTTCCACAGAACAATGAACGTCCACATTCTAGCCTCGCTTCCCTGCACTCACTTAGTTTATCAATTTTTTTTTCTTCCGCTCGACCGACTTTCACCACTGAGACCAATTTAGCGGATGTAAGTGGCAAACTTCTCTGTGAAGCCAGACCAGAAAAAAGCTATGTCAGAGAAAGAATCAAAGTCTGAAATAGGATATGGGTTCTGCTTCCAAAATAATCCATCTAAAAGAGACATATTAAGAAAAGAAAAAAAAAACAGACACAAAAGAGAAAAACTAGACACGAACCCCAGGTCTGTTAGCAAGTGTCTACAGCTGCAGTGATCACACTTATTCAGGTTTCTCCAGTTAAGACATTTTATTCCAAGCCAGTGAAGTTTGACTGCAGTTACAACCAAGCAGCTGCACGGACAAACAACACATCAGCTGTTTGGTTTTTTTTTTAAAATAAACTCACTATCGGGATGCTCATACGGAACCCAGTGGTGTTTGGAGCTTTGGAACTCGAAGTGTGAGTTGCGCTGCTGGCACTGCTGGGCTCGAAAGTCTTCATAATGCTTTGGGCAGTCGTCTGTGTTGCACAGCTGATACTCGTAGTTCACTCCAGGGCAGTCCTGGCCCCCGGTGGAAGGTCTGGACCAAAGGAGAACATGGAAATAAGAATAAAATAAAATACAAGTCAGTCAACTGGACACTAGTACTGGTACTGAGTGTCAGCTGACAGAGAACCATGAATATCTGCATGACTTTATACATGCATGACACAGCACACCACTGCACACAACCAAATGTGACCTCTGCTTTTAACCCATCACCAAAGTGAACATTGAGCAGCTTTAAGGACCAGCAGAGCAGTGTGTGGGGACGGTGCCATGCTCAGAGCACCTCAGTGGCAGCTGGTGGAATCGGACCTGAAGCCTTCTGGACCCAAGTCCGATTCCTTAACTACTAAGCCACCACTGCCCCTAAACTTTACTGATGGAAGACGGTGGATTAATTGGACAAGAAGAAAAAAAAACGATGGAAGAAGAAAGTAAAAAAGAGGAGACAAAGATGAGAAATGAAATGTAGAAGAAGAGGGCGATGACGAGCCAGAGTCAGAGGGGGAGGAAGAAGAAAAGGGAAAAAAAACAGGAAGTAGAGACAGAAGAACATAAGGAAGAAAAAAGAAGGAAAAAAGAGGTAGAGGCAACATGTGATAAAAGAGAAAGAAGACATTTTTTAGATTTTAAAATACTCTATTGACAAACCTCCAGCCTCACTCTGGCTGTCACACTCCGCCACCACAGGATTACGTAAAAGTTTTATAATAAGAAATGAGATGTAGAAAAAAGAGTAGAGCAAGAGATGAAGGAAGAAAAAAAAAGAACTGAAGGAAGAACAACAAAAAGGATGAAGAGCCAGAGGAAGAAAAAAAGCATGGAGAAAGAAAAAAAAGAAATGAAGAAAAGAACAGCAGAGGAAGATGGAGGGGAAGAGAAAAATATGAGGAAGAAAAAGGAGAAGAAGAGGTAGAGCAAGAGGAAATAGAAGAGAAAAAAGAGGTGGTCCTGTCATACTGGATACTGGACAGCTGCCTGGACAAATAAGTTTGTTGTGGACTGCTGCGACTCACTGTATACTCCACATGCTATGTAACCTCATGTCAGACCACATACAGAGAAGCAGCGTGTCAGAAAATGTCTGTTTTTTGGTCTGGGTTTGTTGCAGCAGAAGGGACTTTTTTTGTATTATTCTTGTTAAGTATCAATGAACACTTTTTTATGTCGGGCAAATTTGGCATTCAAACAGGCTCTGTACACCCAGGGGACAGAGTCAGAGTTTAACAGCAGAGCATGCTAAATAAATATTTCATGCTACAGTTTATAATTCATTTGTGTGGCAGGAATAAGAGGATGTTAAATGACCATGAAAGTGAGTGAGTTTTTCAAAACGCCCCACAGGCTGTGGGTTTTGTGAAAAGAGATTTATTATTAAAGTTTGAGCTTGAGTGACTGTGTTAAAGTGACTGGTCATTAATATTAAACCCAGACACAGAGAGAGAAAAACAATGATCTTGCTGCAGGTTGTTGAAACAGCACCAGGGGGACATTGTTAAATGGAGAAAGATTTTTTTGTTGTTGTTGCAATAGATGAATTAAAGAACATTTAAAGACTTCTTATTTCGATTTTTAAGATGGTTTGATTATAGGGTTGACAACTTTACAAAGTAAAAAACTTTTCAACGATGTTCAGACGTGCTTCACGGCCATCACAGCTAGTTTAGAAACTCACTGGGACAGACTTTAAATAGACAGACAATAAAAATCAGCCAGAGGGAAGAGCATGGAGGGAGGGAGCAGGAGAGCTCTGAGATTCACGGACATGTCATCTTTTGAGTTCGTGGAGAATAACAATTTCACTATTGTGAAACCTGATGCTCACTCAGTACCACTTTGTGCCTCACGCTAAAGTGCAATTCAGTCTGATGTTTATGTGTAACTAGTGAGTGGAGGACTCTCGGTTATTCTTTCTTTTCCATGTGCTCAAAAAAAAATCAACCAAATAGAAGAGACAGGAAGGGTTACTTACGCTGGGTTATTGCACAAACGTGTCCGGAATCGAACTCCAGTTCCACATGAGCGTGAGCAGGAGCCGAATTTGCTCCAGGATCCCCACGCCCCGTCTTGCTTGACCTGATTTGGATTTTTCCACATGCAGTGACCTTTGTAGCACCACTGCAAGTGAGGGCAGAGGAGGAATAAAAGTGAGCCAAACAATACTATTTTAGAGATCCATCAAATGATAAGAGTGGAAAAAATGTGGAAACACATGGCCAAAAGTATGTGGAAATACTGTCTGTGTACTTCTGGTCTGAGTTCTGTGGTCTGGCCGGTGCACCTTATTTCCAGCTACAAATGCGTTCTTACGTAATTAACTTTTTTTTTTTTTTTTTTTAGGAGGCACTGTCACATGTCATTACATGTCACATGACTGCTCATCATCCTCTCTGTGCCTGTTGCAAAGAACAAAGGAATGTTTTTATTTTACTCATGCATGCTATGGAGGACTTGGCCCCCACGTTGGGAACCTTGTTGACATGGCTGAACTACGATAAAACTACAGTAGCCACCGGATATGGAACGTTTACACAGATCTAGCTCAAAAAACCAGTGTCTAAACAGAGCCGCTAAGTACGACTCGGTCCCTGTAGTGTGTATGCCAGGCCTGTAAGTGACGCTATGTTACCCAATCTCTAACACATTGTTTACCAAAGACTGGGAAACAATGTAACCCTCAGGTGGGTTGCAAAATATTTTTTCTCAGTGATCTCTCATCATGTTTCCCAGGAGTTTACCAATAATGTCTATTGACTTGGGTCACGAGGGTTTGTGACTTTTAAAATATGGGTCCCCAGAAAAAAAGTTTTGGGAAACACTGATCTAACGTACCAACACTGTAAGAATTTGAACCGGAAATTCAGAGCGGAACTGTAAACAAACTTGAAAAAGAGACACAAACAAGTGAAGATGGCTAACTGTAGCACACAAAAGAGCTGAATTTGCTTCTCCAGCATGATCAGAAAAAACATGCTTTCTATCATTGTTGTTATTGGGTGGCGATCAGCAGGGTTACTGGGGTTGAAAACTGACAGAGAGGCAGAGCTGATTGTATCATCTCATTCTGTGCCACTAACATGGAGACATATGCTCTTTGAGTTTTCAAACCTCTCCACTCTCCGCCCTAACACTCCGTATCCTCGCTGCATAAACAGAGCTTTAGTCACTTCATGCATATTTTTATGGATAGACACTTTTCCTAATATACAAACAATGTCTCTATCCCTCACACTATCCCACAATCCCTTCATTAAAGTTATATCCTAGTCTTATCATACACAACAGAAAAACTTACTTTTCCAGGAGCACACTCCGTCCCATCCAGAGGGGGGCCCTTCTTGGTCTTGCAGAAGTAAGGGTTGTCCGGGTGACTGCACCACAGTTGTTTGCAAGGGTCAAATGTGCGAAACTAAAACAAAGAGAAAATTCAGAGCATTAAGTAGAGTAATGTTGGATTTAGGGTTTATTTTTTATTTATTTATTTTTTAATCAGAGCACTTTCATACACTTCACAGACACTTCAAACCCATCAATGCTCAGCTGTGTGAAAACTTGTAATACCTAGAATGTCGTTTTACTGTTAGAAGATGTTTTAGAAGGACAGAGAAGAATATCAGAGCAGCAAGAAAGGACACAAAGGGCCTTGTCTGGGCCAAAAGGTAATTCAGAACAATGTGAGCCCTTAACATCGATACCAAAAGCATTGAAACTCTCTCACTCTCTTAAAAAAAAAAAAACCTTGTTCCTTCTTTGGCTGATTTTATTTTTCTCACTGCAATGATTTTCACTGAGGCACATGTTTTATAGATTTGTCACCAACATCATCAATTCCTTCAATCACTGGAAGAGAGAGACTTGATCAATCGAGTTGGACTTTAACTTTGCCTATAAAAATGGTGTAAACAATGAAGGGTGTCACCTACAGGGCAAACAGCTGAATTGCTGTTGTCACGGTAAATGAGTTAAACACAATGATTTATTTATAGCAGCTAAGCCCATGGAAAAAAAAAAAAAACATTTAAAAAGAATCCCACCTCAGTAAGTCAATGAAAAGAGTACCGTACTCTTGCATGCACTACTGCATAATAAAGTGTTGTGAAAAATCTAGAAGGGAACATGAATTACACTTTTTAAAACATGTTTTAGAAAAACATGGAATTTCAATCCTTTCATAACACAAGGTCAAGATATCTTTTACGATGAATGCCG